CTGCAGTCCAGCATCTGACATGCATACAGTTGAAGCATATACGACTACAGTGACCATATAAGACGACTTTGAAGGGTATATAACGAGTTCAATAGGCAAATGAAGTTACATCGACTTCATCGGTGTGCACACTCTATTTTTCTATTATCATCTCACATGGATACTATTGAAGCAAACGAGTTCGCAAGGCCCATATGAGACGACTTCTAAGCTGGTATTACGCACACAACTTGCAGAACAAGAAACTTCGACTTCGACTATGTTTACACTGTCACTCTGCAGTCTAGCATCTGACATGCATACAGTTGAAGCAGATAGGATTGCAGTGACCGTATGAGACGACTTTGAAGGGTAATAACGAGTACAACAGGCAAATGAAGATACATCGACTTAATCGTTGTGCACACTATATCTCTCTATCTTATCATTTAACATTGACACTATTGAAGCAGACTAGTTTGAATTGACCATATGAGACGACTTCCAAGCGGGTATAACGCACACGATTTGCAGAACAAGAAACTTCGACTTCGACTATGTTTACACTGTAACCCTACAGTCTAGCATCTGACATGCATACAATTGAAGCATATACGATTGCAGTGACCGTATAAGACGACATTGAAGGGTATATAACGAGTACAATAGGCAAATAGGGATACATCGACTTCATCGTCGTACACACTATATATCTCTATCCTACCACCTCACATGGACACTATTGAAGCCGACAAGTTTGCATTGACCATATGAGACGACTTTCAAGCGAGTATAACGCACACGATTCGCAGAACAAGAAACTACGACTACGACTATGTTTACACAGGAAGTCTGCAGTCTAGCATCTGACATGCATACAGTTGAAGCTGATATTGTGAAAAAAATTGTAAAATTGTTCTATCCGTCATTCGGTTGCCCCCTTACGAGCAACCCTCAGAAGTCTTCGAGAGTTTTGTGCGAGCAAAGAATGACGGGGGCCTCACCTTTCAACGTGTGATCACAAACACTTTCTTGGGCCATCAGAAAAATTTCTGCAGTCGGCGGGAATCGAAACCACGACCGGTAAGCGAATGCGGATTAGAATATAGACACTCTGTCTGGGAGGAAATCCATCATGGACAAATGCAGCTTGTGGTCTATCGCTGCAAATAGTGTCGGACTCTTACCGACTAAAACCTCCCAGTTTCGTCCCAAGATACTATGGCATCGTTATTTCTAACATTCTTCATAGTATCTGGCGGTCTGAACTATCCATTTCCGTCTGCTCTCTGTTCTTCCCTCTCGTCAGCTTCTTTTTGCTTCAGGATTGCTCCTGCCAGTCCTTTTATAATAATAATAATAATAATAATAATAATCGTCTTTATTTCTTTCTAATATAGGTAATTCACATTTTTACATGTTGTTTTTCAAGCTTATGAAAGAAAAGGGCGGAGTTCAATTTATGTCAAGATCAAATCTCTAGTAAATTGCTCTTCCACTCAACCCTGGTAGTACTGCACTGAGCGAGGAGTATAAAAAAATAAGAAAAAAAAATATGTTGCTAAGAATTTGATCGCAGAAACCTTCCAAGAATGAACTATCGGAATTGTAGAAGATAATTATATAAGTATATCTACTGTTGGGAAAAGATATATTCTTTAAGTTTTGATTTGAACTTTTCCAATGATTGCTTTTTCATGTCTGTGGGTAGAGAATTATAAATATTGCATATCTGATAAGAGAATGAACGTTTGAAAAATTCAGTTTTAAATTTTGGTGGTGTAAGGGTACCTCTGAACCTTATGTTCAAATTGTGCACGTCCGAACGAAAAGTTATTTTTCGATGTAAATAACATGGCTTTTTGCTCAGAACAATTTTATGAAACAGACAAGCAGAATGAAGAAATCTTTTTTTCTCCATGTTCAACCACCCAGCCGGAATTAGTTTATTAGTGATCCTCTCGCGTTTTCGCACACCGTATATAAGTCTCAAACAAGAATTTTGTACTTTTTGTATTTTTGCACTGTATATCTGAGTAATATTTGGACCATAAAGAGAATCACAAAAGTTGAATATTGATAATACCATCGTCTCACACAATAATAATTTTATATTCGATGATAGCAAAAGCCTTGCACCATACAAGGTTTTCAAAGACATGTAATGTTATAGTCCCTGCATAGTCAACTCAATATTATTCATTTTATATTCACCACTTACGGGCATCTAGACATAACGTCAGAACTGAGCGCGAGTATGAGAGAGACCGTTTTCGGTTTCGAAGATTCCGATTCCGACCACCGAGCAAGACAGACTGTTAAAAAGATGGGGAAGTTGCGAGCCGTTTGAGCTTGGCCGACCAAGTAAAATGTATTTGGTGTTCTTTCTTATTTCCCGGTGAGTACCTATCAGCATATTATTATAATTTAACCAAATAAACTATTGCCAATGATACATCTACACACCTCACAAACAATCCAATTTTTATACAAATAAAATCATATCTTCACTTCAAAAAGATCTATATAAAGAAAACTCAACACAACAACCAAACCCACGAATATAACAGTAAGCTCTTTGAATGAGCTTATTCACATATTTGTCGAATCTCAATTTAGAGTCTATTTCTACTCCAAGATTTCTTGTATGTTCTACTATAGCAAGTGTTTCATCATTCAAATTTATTGTGATATCATGTGGATTTAGGGAATTCCTTCCTGCAAAAATCATAACTTTTGACTTACTAGGATTGATGTATAGACAATGTTCCGATGCCTTCTGTATGAAATTGTGAAGGTCTTCATTGATGAAACTATTAGCATTTTCCACATCATTTACATTAAAACTGTAATAAATCTGTGTATCATCGGCGTAACAGTGAATAGAGCAATGTTTAAGTGATTTCAAAATTGTAGAAGTATATATAGAAAAAAGAAGTGGTCCTAATATGGAACCCTGCGGTACTCCAGATTTGAGAATCATACTTTCTGAATGAACATTTCCTATATGAACTTTTTGTTTGCGAGTATATAAATAATTTTTGAATAACTCTACTGCAGACATTGACATTCCAAGATAGTGCAGGATAGCTAACATTAATTCATGATTTATAGTGTCGAATGCACGACTGAAATCCAATAGAACTAAAACTGTATGCATACCTTGGTCCTTGGCTCTAATGATGTCATCCACAACATGGAGTAGAGCAGTGGTACAACTATAACCTTTTCGGAAGCCTGATTGAATTTCAGGTAGTAGAGAGTAATGCTCAATGTGATTTTTCAGTTGGGTTTCAATGGCTCTCTCTAACACTTTTGATAAGGTGGGCAGTATACTTATAGCTCGAAGATCTTTAAATTCCACTGGATCAGATTTTTTAGGCAAAACTTGTACTACTGCTATTTTCCAAATTTCAGGTATAACACTATTTGTTAAACAAAAATTAATTATATGTGTTATATAAGGAATGATATGAGGACAACAAAGTTTTATTATGTTTAAATTCAACTCATCAACTCCTTTAGCATTACTTTTTATATTGCATATAGTTTCATAAACAAATAAGTCATTCAACTCAGAGAAGTGAAATGAATCTGATTGGATTTGGCAGTTGGTTTCATAAAAATTCAGTAATTCAAGTGGTGGATTCTTTTGTGGTACTGAGTTGATGAAAAATTCGTTTATTTCATCGACATTTTTCAAAAACTCAGGCAGTGAATAAGTTTTGTTAGGTATAATATTATTTGTTTTGAGTGCTTTCCAAAATGTCTTACGATCAGCTATTTCAAATTGATGAGTGAAATAAGCTTTTTTTCATTTTTCACTGCCTTGTTTACATAATTTCTTAGGTCTTTATAATATTGAAAATCAATGTCCGATGTCATCCTCTTATATTTTTTGAAAGCCTTGTCTCTGAGTATTATCATTTCTTTAATCGTTTCTGTTAACCACGGGCTTTTAGGTTTTGTTACTCTTGAAGTCACTATCGGAATATGTCTATCCACCAAATTCATCAAACAATTGACAAGAAAGGACACTTTTTCGTCGACCGATTCTTGATCGTATATTCTAAAAAATGGGGTATCATATAGATCTCGCAGAAAAATGTCTTGATCAAAATATTTGAAACTTCTATAAGTGCACATTTTGGGTGGATTCCTAATTTTTTTAATTTGGCTATTGCAATAAATAATTTGGTGATCAGACATACCATTGTTGTCTAAGATTCCGCATTTTGTTATATTCGAAAAACTCGTGATGATCACGTCTAACAAAGTGGCTGAGGTAGGCGTTATTCTAGTTGGACAGTCAACAATCTGTCTTAGCTCAAGACATTCCAAAATTGAATTGAATTTTTCAGTATTCGTATTATCTAATTCCAAAAGGTTGATATTGATATCACCCATACAAATTATGTCATCAACACAAGGCCAACTGTAACCTAAATCATCTTCTGATTCATCAAGGAATGCATATATCTCTTGTTGAGGAGATTTGTATAATACACCTATAGCGATCACTTTTTTTTCTAGTGTAAGCTTGATATAAAGTTGCTCGTGGTACATGGTTTCTAGTTGAATGATATCATATTTGTATTTCTTACTAATGTAGATACAAACTCCTCCACCTCGAGACGTCCTATCATTTCTCAACAAATTAAAACCATCGATTTGTAATACGTTGTTCGGCACATCATTTTGCAACCAAGTTTCACACAGTAAAAATAAATCGAAATATTGGGTTGTTAAAAAATTTCGCAATTCATTCAAAGAAGGTATCAACGATCTTACATTTAAGCAGGCAATTCTCAAATTACACATGAAAAAGACAACTTTTTATGTTTTAGCAAGAAATAAATTAAAAGTAATTAGAGTACTTGTTTTCGTGGGTACGGATAAACTGCCCTCATGCGAAATATTAATATTGATATGAATGAGCAATGGGGAAAATAGCAACAATTAATAAAATAATTAAAAGAAAAAAAAACTACAGGTACATATTGATAATGAGTTTTCAGTTTTCATAGTCTAGCCACATCTTCCATACATTTCACCTTGACTATTGGCTGCTCATCATCACTATATTTAACAAGAATGGTGCCAAAATTAGTCCAGACTTTGCCGCCTCTTCCAATTTTTTCAGTGGTGGCTTTTAGTATGCGCTGCTGGTCACTGGTGAGATCCTCTCGAATCACTAAACGTGTGCCCTTTAGTAACTTTTTCTTATAGAAAATCATATTTCTCTTCCAGATGCCGCTGAATACTACAATCATAGGACGATTTTTTTGACCACCAACTGATTTGCCAATTCTGAAACATCTCTCGATTTCAAACTCCTTAATATCAACCTCTAACTTCTCAGATATAACATTACGTACTATCTGGCTGCAGTTTTCATGATTTTGCTCTGGAATACCATGAAAGATCAGATTTCTGTGTCTGAGAGAGCGATCATAGTTCTCCTGTTTGTCAACTAGGCTTTCGATTACATTTTCCTGTTTCCGTAGTTTTTCCTGAAGTTTTTTATTTTCAGTTCTCAATGAGTCAATTTCTTCTGTGAAGGATTTTTTCACGGTTTCTAAGATACTAGCAGACAGCTGGCTAATAAATTCATCTGAGCAGCATAACTTTGACACTATTGTCTTTACAGCTACGTGCAGTTCTTCTTCACCCCGTTTGTTAGTTCTGCCAGTCATGGTTATGGGAATATGAAATTAAACTTACTGCGAATTATGTTGCAAGTTTCAACTTGAAATTGCTATTATTCACTATTGAATAACTGTTTCGACTCACTGGAGAAATTTGAAAATTATCTATGCACGTTTTCCCTATATAATACTAGTTTTCTTCGCTTCAGCAGTTTATACACGTCTACTCCATACGACTACAGAACAGTACTGTCCTCAGTACTGGCCTCCCAACTATTTTCATTTTCTATTATTATTCTCCCCAGTGTATCCTCCGTCGGAATTTCCTCCATCTCAGCGTATGTTCTCTGGCGCTCTGCCTCCCATCGTCCACACTGGAACAGAGTGTGTGCTGGAGTGTCCCTCTCATTGCAGTACACGCATGTGTCAGTGGCACTTTTCCCTATACGCTTCGTGTATGTTCTGAAGCATCCATGGCCGGTTAGTATCTGCGTTAGGTAGTAGTCCACTGTTCTGTGTTTGCACTTGTAGTACATTTCTATATTCGGTATTATCTTTTTGGTCCATTGTGCCGTGTCCGTGTTCGTTTGCCATTCCTGCTGCCATGTCCTCAGAGATGTTTCCCGTTCAACCGACCTGGCGGCCCTTCCATCCTCTCTTTCGTGCAGTCTCTTGCGTTCTGCCACTAGAAGGTGGATAGGCACCGTGCCAGTGATAGCTTGTACTGCCCTTAGGGATTTATTTATTTATTTATTTATTTGTCCATACAGGCCTAGTGGCCTATTTACATGGATCAATACACAGATATACATGTACACATTTAAAAAAGCAAAAGAGTGCTTTTTCTTCATTCATACTATTATCAGAACTGTAGGGGGATTCGTATGAAAATTATTGAAATGATGGTTAATATTATTGGAAGTGAACAATTTTGCAGCATTCCTTCTTTTCATGGAGTGAATGCAAGCTGAATAAACGTTAGGGAAAATATGTTCATGATGAGAGGTTGATTATTTGAGTGATGATCAATCTATAAAAGGCAGATTGAGACAAAGTCCATTCCAAGTTCAACATTCCATCAAAAGTATTAGCTAAGCGCAAAATAGTTGCTAGTGGGGCTCTGCAACCTGAGATGGACAATGATATCTTGAAAGGTGCTGTAAATCGGGTTCGACGAGATGGTACATTAAATGGAATCAATTTCTGGTGAGTTTATCTTATTGTTTATAACTTTATATAGAAACATCATCGCTAGTAGGTTTCTTCTTTGTTCTAAGGCTAAGATTTTAAATTCCTTCCTCAGTTGTACCGTGCGGACATAATTATAGTCAGGCCATACGTGATTCTTTTTAAAATACAGGTACCTGAGGAATTTATTTTGTATCTTTTCAATTTCCTTCAAGATTGTTATGTGCTCTCCTAACCATATCACAGAAGCAAATTCAAGTTTTGGTCTTACCAAGCTGTAATAAAGTAATTTTATGGTATCCACATTATTGAAGCTATGAGTTTGTCGAATCAAAAATCCTAAAGCACGGTTTGCATCCCGAACTATTTTAGAAATATGATTTGTGAACGAAAAAACATTGTTATATGTTACTCCCAAATCCCTAACCTCAGTTTTCCGTGCTAACACTTCATTGTCCATCTGATATTCGAAGTTAATAACATTTTTTAAACGAGTTATTGTTAAAATATAGCATTTTTTCACATTAAAGTATAATTTATTGTTGTAACTCCACTCTACAATGCTATCGATATCTTTTTGTAGCATCACACAATCCCGCAAAGTTTGTATACGCTTGAATATTTTGAGGTCATCTGCATAGAGCAGACATTCTGAATAATTAATACAGGACGGTAGATCATTGATGAATAAGACAAACAGCAGGGGTCCTAGATTTGAACCCTGTGGCACTCCAGAATTTGCATGAAACTTTCCAGAGGTGTTTCCATTGTGCTTTACGACAAAGAACCTATTTTCCAAGTAACTTTTTATAATGCGCATGAAATTTACTGACAAGCCAAATTTACTAAGTTTTGTTAATAGAATGTCGTGATTAACTTGGTCAAACGCTTTGCGAAAATCAGTAAATATCGTATCTAATTGTGCTTTGTTCGCAATGGTTTCAAATACTTCATTACTGTATAGAAATAAATTACTATTGATTGATTTTTGTGTAATAAACCCGTGTTGCTGTGTAACTATAATTTTATTGGTGAAGTTGTATAATTGAATATAAATAATTTGCTCCAATAACTTAGATGGTGCACACATGATAGAAATCGCTCTGTAATTCTCTACATCCTTCTTACTACCAGATTTGAAAATTGGTGTTGTTATAGAAGTTTTCCATAACTCGGGATAGTTACCGGAACTAACTATTAAGTTATATATATGAATGAAGGGTATTTTCAACCACTCATAGCAACCTTTAAGAATATACGGTGGTATTCCGTCTGTACTCGCTGACTTTTTGGGTTTTAGTTTTTTAATTGCTTCATTGTAATCATTTTCATTTATCGAATGAAAATGAAATGTATCATTAGATATGTTAATATTATCGTCAAATGCCATATTATAAGTAGATTATTATAAGTAGATTTCTCTTGACAATAGACAGACGCAAAAAAAGTGCAAAAGTTTCTGCAGTTTTGATTTTGTTCTGTATGCGCTAGCGACTCGTAGGGCTATCCTTCTCTGGGTCCTCTCTAGCATCTGTCTGAATCTCCGGACATTCAGAGAGTCTGCCCAAACTGGGGCGCCATATAGCAGGATGGAGTGCACTACTCCACTCAGTAGCTGACGTTTCATGCTGCTGGGTCCACCGATGTTTCTCATCAGCCTCGTTAGCGTTGCTGCCCTTTCCTCTGCCTTCGCTGTTGCATACTCAATATGTCTCCCAAAGCTACCGACATCATCCAGTATGATGCCTAGGTACCGTACGCTTTTCTGAGGTTCGATTTTTATGCCTTCTAGGTGGAATCGGGGCTGTTCCCTGTCCGTTTTTTTCCTCGGCCCGCGAAGTATGACAGCCTCAGTTTTTTCAGGGGCTAATTTCAGCTGGTTGCGGCTGATCCATCTAGCAATTATTCTAAGCGACTCGTCAGCCCTATATTCAAGTTGGCTCACATCCTTTCCGGTAGCTATAATTGCTATATCGTCTGCGAATCCGATTGACATTGTGCCATCGATCAGTTGCTCCCTCAAAACTCCATCGTAGAAGAGGTTCCATAGTAGCGGACCTAGTACCGACCCCTGAGGTACTCCAGCTGTTACTTCCAATTCCTCTTTGCCCACGATGATCTTCCTGTTGCTCAGATAGCTCCTTTTTATATTTCGCAGGTAGGTCGATATCTGTCGTCTCCGGAGCTCTGCCTCTATTAGTTTCCACGATGCTGTATTGAAGGCGTTTTTTATATCTAGCGTTATCAGCGCCAGCCACCTCTCCTGGCAGGTCGTCACAATTTGCCTCACTTCTTGGACTGCCTGTACGGTCGAATGTCCTTTACGAAATCCGTGTTGGTTACTAGAGAGCCCCCCGTTATCCTCTATTTCTTGCTCTAGTCTATTTCTGAGTAGGCATTCGTACACTTTACTTATCGCGCACAGCAAGCAAATGGGCCTGTAGGACGATGGTATTCCTAGAGGCTTTCCTGGTTTTGGGACTAGTACAAGTTTAGCTGCTTTCCAGAATGTTGGGAACTCTTGTTGTCGTAATAGCTCATTGTAGATGTCCAGGAGGAAATCTGGGGAGATCTCCGCGATTGCCATAATGGCTTCCGCCGGCACACCGTCAGGTCCTGGCGCTTTTCTTTTTTTCGCGCTTCCAATTGCCTTCAAGAGTTCTTCCATAGTGAAGGGGTTTGTTTCCTCCAAAGGTTCCTGTTCAGGGCGGTGGTCCTGTCTTTGTGGGAATAGGTGTTTTGCCATGTCTATCTTCTGGGCATCCGAAAGGTCTGCTGGTGTGTGCTTTGTTAGTTTTCCACAAGCAATCCTGTACCCATCTCCCCAGATATCTTCTTCGAGCTCGTCGCATAGATTTGCCCAGTGTTCTTTCTTAGCATCGCGTATCATTTTCTTCAGGGCCTTCTTCGAATCCTTGTATTCCTCTCTCGCATGTTCACGTTGTTCTGCAGTGTACCCTATCATCCTTCTTTGCGTTTGTCTTCTCATTCTGGTGCACTCCGCCCTTTTGTCGCTTATCTCGCTGTTCCACCAGAAGGGGAGTGTTGCTGGTCGTCCTGAGATGCTATCCGTGCAGCTGCGGTATGAATCCCGTATCAATTTCACCCTTGACTCCACGTCTGTTGCGGCTGAGGCCATCCACTCCATCATAAGTCGGAAGGCGGCCCAGTCGACTGCAACGGTCTTCGGTTCGTTAAAAGTTTTCAGCACTTTTTCTGCGACCTCGAAGGTTATATACTGGTGGTCGCTAAGATTCTCGTCTTCCAGCACTTTCCAATTCAGGATTTTTCTACCTAGCCGCTTCGTGGAAATGGTAACGTCTATGTACGAACTTTGGTCTCCTCTGTGGAACGTTGGTTTGCCTCCTGTGTTATGCACCATCATGTCTGCCGTCGTAAGTCCATCCGCGAGATATTTGCCGCGTTCGTCTGCGACTGGTGACCCCCACGGCTACCTGGCAGTGACCATATAAGATGACTTTGAAGCGAATATAGAAAGTACAATAGGCAGATGAAGATACATCGACTTCATCGGAGTGCACATTCTTTCTCCCTATCATATCATCTCACA